AGCCTAAAATTGCATTGGCCTTTTTAGCTGCTGCATCACACTGTTGAGACAAGTGCTGCAGAAATATTTCAGTCTGGCACTGCTTTAATTGCCATGTTTCCATTCTATGGAATTCTAGGAATTGTAGTTTGTTGTAGCACCAGAGCTCTCTGACAAAGAAGGATAATAATAATAATAATAATAATAATATCTTCCAAACCTACAATTCCCAGAATTGCATAGCATTAAGCCACGACAAATAAAGTGGTGTCAAACTGCATTAATTCTGTAGTGCAGATTCAGCCTCGTATAGAGTCACTATAAAATGGAAACAACTTGAAGGCACATAACACTAACCAAGCTCTTGTTATAAATCCATTACTTGCTATCACAATAACAACCAAGATCCTAATTTAAGGGAACAGAGCATAACTTTACATTCAGAACCACATAGTAGTTTTGTAATGCTGCTTCTTTAGTGAATTGTGTTGTTATGCAACTCAATGTATGTACACATCTGCAAGCTCAATGTACAATACAGGATGCACATCCCTGCACACTGCATTAGGTGCGCCTATGTGTACCTGGTGCAATGCACAGAGACAGACATGTGAAACCAATATGACATTCAGGCACATCCATGCACAATGCAAAACCATAAACAATGATGCCAAGTTGCAATTCTACTTCCACACGCTTTGTCCATGTTGATCAAAAATGTCCAAATATTTCTGTAGGGCAGCTTATGCATGCATAAGACATTAGCAGGATTCTTTGTTGATAGCTGGAAGAAGAGCGGCTCATAGCAGCAGCAACAACAACAGCGGAGGTATCTGCTGGCTACTGATCTTCTCCCTTTGTGGCCAGAGTAGGGGTAGTTACAAGCGGAGAGATGGGATACCAGTGGCTTTGGGCCCAGGCCCATTGGAGAGACCGGTATCTAAGAATATGGTGGACCTTCCTTCTTTGGAGGTCTTTAGACAGAGCTTGGATGGTCATTGGGTGGAGTGTGTCCAGAGGAGGGTGACCAAAATGGT